GCCCGGTCAGCAAGCCTGGCGAATCAAGACGCGTCGCGTAGCAGCGGATCAGACGGTCAAATTTGAACGCGATTGGATGGCCCAGAGTGGATCGCGATGGACGACTTAGATTGAATCGCGATTAACGGCTCAGATTCACTCCCTATTTAATCGCGATCGGACGGTCCAGATCAAACGCGATGGACGACCCAAATCAAAAGCGGATATATAAATAACCGTCATCCACACCAAACCCTAACCCTAGCCACCAGACTCCCTCGCCAGAGAAAAAGACCCGACTGCCGGAAGGACACCGCCGCCGCACCGGAGCTTTTTTCGACCGCCAAAAAAGATAAAAATTTTCCCTTTTGCTCGAAATCCAATTGGCCGAAAAATTCCAGTGAAGCCCGCTGCCGCCGCCGCGAGAAATTTCACAAAATGCCTCCAATAAAGTCTTTCCTGATTCCCGTTCTGTGTAATTTTTTCACCGTTGTGATCACCGTATCCTTCTCTACGAGTTGACCAGAGCAAAATACCCAACCACAACGTGAGCCGAAGGAGCCGCCGCACCAGAGATCCCCGCCGCCGATGCCCTTTAATGTGTTTTCTCGTAGGGATCGATGCAAAATTGATCGAATTAGACCGAAAACATCCAACTCGAGGCGGACCGCTGTTGCGGGCAGCGGCCCCGTCGCCGGAGCACGGTGAAGCCACCGTGCCAAAATTCTGAAATTAGCCAAGTGGGCTCCGAGACTAATTTTGGATTTGTTTGGGACATTTGTAGGTGCTATTAGCGCGTTTTAATTCTCGAAGAAAAATTAAGGGGACTAAGAATCACCCGTAGGCGCAGTCGAACAGCTTAGCTTATCGGATATCAAATTGAGTTAAGATCTTTCACCCTATTTTCTATCATAGAACTGAAGTCCAAAGAAATGATAATACGATATTTTGTGTGAATTTAAAAAATGTGTATAATTAATTACGGATTGCTAATGGAGCCAGAATTGAGAATTATCTACTGTTGTTTGTTGATTATTTTTATAGTTTATATGCATGATGGTATCTTATTAAATTTTTTTATGATTTTGAATGCATGTATGGTTTATTCTATATGCTTACTGTCAAATCAAAAAAAAGAATAAGGTTAAATGGTAAAAATTGTGTGATGAAATGAATAAATGAAACGGCAGCCTTACTGGATATCCTAGGAGATGGTGGACGGACTGGGGGACATAAGAAATCCTACCGTGAACGTTGTCTCATACTTGACGAGGTATATAGACTTGGTAAAATTGGCATTCATACCGGATGGGGTATGGGGACGGCCCACTTCACCCTCATACTGGACGGAGTATTGAGGTTTGGTAAATTGGTACTCATATTGGACGGGATATTAAGGTTTGGTAAATTGGCACTCATACCGGATAAAGTATGGAGATGGCCCGTAATTGAGAATGTTAAATGAAAGGGTTACGTGTAGTGAGACATCCCTATGAACCTTCATGGATATCAGCAAGTTGGTAAAAGAATGACAGTTATTATTTGATTTATTGATGATGGATATAGATTTATAATATGTGCTATGACTGCTGATTATACATA